GGAAGCAAAATCAGTCTCTTTTAGAGTCAAACCCAAAAATATGACATCCCTGCTATTAGAATGCAATTTTACTAAAGAATCATCAGTGTCTACCAGAACGGGGAATTTCAGACGTTAAAATACAGATTGATATGGGAAGTAAAAGTAGAAAAAGTACAATCCTATAAAAATTTCAACACTTACATACAAAACAATCAAGCACTGCCTAGCCTAGCATTCGGGCTCAACACAGATATCGTTGCAAACAAAATCCGCCTAGCAGTATTTCACAAGCACTAATTAAAAGCAGATTAAAATTGCACGGCAATTCATTTTCCGCCGAGTTACAATTCCGTGTAGCTCGGGAGTTTGCGGATTTTTGATATAAATCCGTTTTAAAATTACATTGGATGTGGTCGTTAATCACCACAATGTCTGCTTTATTCGCAAACTGGGGAAGTCATGCTGATAAACATTAATTCAAACATGAACGTACAAAAATTCAACGTGCATCATGCTTTCATCGACTCTGAGCGTTGAAATAAGACATTTTCACTACAACCGACGGCACAAGTTAAGTAATTCGACCTTGAAAAACATTTTCATCTGACGGATCGCCTACCTATCGGTCGCATTTGCCGTGCACAGGTAATTGTAAATGTTGCTTGCATCTTTGGTAACGCATCCGAGGGACATAAAACCAGGTAGCGGCCCGCTCAGTGGGGAAATGCATATAAAAGGTTGGGGCGATATTATCTATATATACGAGCATTATGCTTGGAAAGTAATTTAATGGCGTTACTTGGTTTCGCGAGGTAATATACTCATATAACGTATAGTATATAAGTATAGATCCAAAGAAATGAGGCTACCGTGTGCGGACACGCTCATTGCTGCAATCGAAGGAAACTTTTTTGACGCCATTTCTTACCCCTCAAAAAAATACTGGGCAAGGTATCATATAAAATTCGACTGATGGGTTTTCTCGATTTTTCAAAATCACAACTTGGTCTATGCATGTGAACCAACTGTATATGCCCATTATCACGATTCTAATAATTTTTTCGTACCGCTATGCTTGACCAAGATCTCTAAGCCGATTTGTGGTTCTCATTTCTCAGCGATGATAGCGCGAATCAAAGAAATGACACCGTTAAATCGTGTTAACCGCAAATACTGTTATGCGACGTGACAATACGCATTCATTATTTGAATAACACGATACCAGTGCCTTTGAATGAGCATAAAATTATAACGTATATTCTTCGTCACGTACCTACTGCAGTGCGCAGGAAAATTGCAGCAAATGATGGAATGCCCTACCTATAGTTACTGTCTATCTGGCAACGTTGAAAACATTGCTGGGTCATTTTTAAAGACAATGTACCGGGAAATGTATGATGTGTGAAATATCGATAATAGGTGCATAGAATTACCGTTGGGAGCGTATAACAGACAGACCGTCGGAAATGAGTGACATGGTTTTTTGTGATGTACAGATCATATAACATCCAAAAACCATAATTACTCATTTTTGAAATTTTTCCCGATTACAATACGTGCACGCCTCCGAAATGGAGGTGCCCGGGGCGTCGATGTGCAGCTTGGTCCAGGGAATCAGGAAATGGAACAGGCCAGACTAATTGAAACTATTGGAATATATTCCGATGTGTAGTGCTGATAATGTGTCTCTGAGGGTTCGGCACTACCGCAAAGGCGCGACCTCATTGTAAATTACCCCATTGGGAAGAACTCTAACTGCAGAACTTTGTCGTCCATTTCCTGAAATATTGGGTTTATGTAGTGCAGACGTACAATATGTTGCTCACTTTATCTTCCCCTTCATATGAAAGGAAGTTAAACAATGATGATAAAATAGTTAGAAGGGCGAATTTGGCCAGTTTTTTTGTACTTGGGATATTAGTAATCTCATATAAACATTTCATCGAAATCCGAGGGCTACTTTCCAAGTTATAGATGGGCCAATGATTGGCGGACAGGCAGGCGTACTGTCAGACGGACCGGCATACAGGTAGAACGACAAAATCGAGTGACATGGTTTTTCTTGATGTAGATGTCAACATAATATCTCATTTTCGAAATTTTTCGCGATTACAATACTTCCTCTCGAGTAGAGAGGGAAATAAAAAGCCTTCGTTATGGAGAAGAGCTCAAAGGCGCCGATTGCGTTGGTATGTCGGCTATGTTACGAAGCAATGGCTCGAGAGGGTGATGTTATGATAAAAAATTGCATCGAACGTCGAATTCTTGGTCGAATCGTGTGAATGAGTCAAAGTATGGACGATGTAGTCAGCACAGCAGCTTCTTAGTCATGAAAGTATCCGACGGCACACCAGACCTTAAGGCTTAATATACCGCACTCCTTCTAGCTTATAGTATACAATTATGACGTAGTCGCTAGAGTAAATTGGACATAAGGGTTTTCATTTTAAAGGTCTTCTTATCCTCTACAACTACTATTCTGTAAACCACTTAGACCAATACTTTATAGGTTTTTTTAATATACGCGACAAAGTAATACTCACAACTTTGACGCTTAATTAAAAAATTACCCAGCAATTTGTTTCTACTCGTATTTCTAGACAAAATACCTGCTTATATATCATTGAAATTTCAAATGCGTCACCCTGTATATTTGTGCAAGTTTAGATTCAGTTTTTTATAAGCTTTTTTTGGTATATGGTTTGATTCAGATAAAATCACTAGATTTTGAGTTATTAAGCTTTTAATAGAACAACACACCAAAATTAAGGAAAAAATCACATCCATGGAAACAAAAGACAAACAGTGAGCTAGTTCCATATTGCCACTAAGAGTACAGATTTGACGTAAAAACTAATAACAATCAGAACATTATAAATCAGCTTCAAGCGTAATAGAGAAAAACAACTATAACAACAACATAAACAAACAACTATCACTACTAAAGACCTAATCTACAAAAACTGCTCGAAAATACACAGCCGTAGTCTTTGGATAAATGACCGTTGCACATCCCTCAGCATGTGTTTCCTTAAGTTTAGAAAAGCATCCTTAATCCTTTCCTTCATATTTTCCAGGGTAGATGGTGGATATCTATAAACTTCTTGCTAAACGTAGCCTCATAGATGGATATCCATCGGTGTGATATCGGGTGATCTAGGAGGCTAAGGTATAGGCTTATCACGACCGATCCAGCGATTGTTACTCCAGGTGTCCAAATAGTTACTCATACGATTATGATAATGCGCAGGTGCGCCGTCATGTTTGAAGTACATATGCATCCTAGTTTGCAGGTTGACATCCTCCAAAAGCAAAGGCAAATGCTCGATCAAAAAATTCAAGTATTCTGTACCTGTTAATCTGTTGTCGAAAAAGAAAGGCCCGATAACTTGTCTGCAAATAACTCCTCCCCAAACACTCAAGCTCCATCTATTTTGGAAATCTAACCCAGTAAGGGTTTTCCGTCGGATAATAGTGCATGTTATGCCTGTTGACAACACCTATGCTGTTAAAAGTTGCTTCATCGCTAAAAAGAACCTTATCGAGGAAAGTAGTGTCTTCACTCACTTTATTTATCATTATTCTACATAAACTCCATTCGAGCTGCGAAATCCTGAGGACGAAGGCCTTGGTGCAAGCATAGGTGATATGGATTGTATCTATGCTTGTGAATAATCTTTTGGACAGCAGTTCTGCATATATCAGTTTCTGCTCCAATTTGCCGTGCACTTAAAGGGGATTTTCCTGCAACTTAATAGAACCTCAAACTGATTCGCCTCATTAGTGACACTTGGATTATTGATACATTTTTTACTATATTCCACTGCTCCACTTGATTCAAAACGTTCTCCTAGTGTGGAAAATGTTTCCGGCCTTGGATGTCGCATATTAGGGTGCCGATGCTTATAAATGCGAGATGCTAGGAAACTATTTCTTTGGGCTTCGCCCAAATTTACCATTTCCTCTTTAGAAAAATACATTTTCAAACATGTTTTATTATAATATTCATTATAATGCTCATAAAGTTAATTTTGACAGTTTGTAACTAATCAACAATTTATTTGTTTCCAAGGATGATAAGATATTTTGCGGAATTAAACCGTTCCATAAAAGACGTGCTAATAATCGAAAAAATAACCGTGAAACCCCTTATGTGTCTAGTATCAAAAAAGCTTATAAAAAATTGAATACAAGCTTGCACAAATGATGCATTTGAAATTTTTGAGAAAAACTACAATTTGCGTATTTGACCACCCTGTGTGAGCAAAAATTAAAATGCGAAATAGTAACAAATAAGATAAAAGCTGAGATGTGTAAGTTTTTTTGATACAAAATTCAGCTTTCAAAATTTCAAAATGGCCGACTGAGGGGTTGTCGAAGTGAGGGGTTTTTCTATACAAAAGACCTTATATCTCATTAGCTAATTACTAAAACCCCATAGTCATATCGACTTTCTTCTTTTGAATTGGTTTATCCAAATATGCATTAAAATTTGGGGCATTCTATTTGAAAAATCACAACTTTAATATGTAGGTCGAAATTAGGACACCCTGTATAATGGCCAAGATTTTAGAAATGTGCCCTCGAATGTTAAGTATATTATCCCATAAATAGATTTTTAGAAATGTATTTGTTTATGAGTAATATTCCGTCCACACATGGATGGGCTACCCTGTATATATATATATATTATATATGTATATATAATTTCGTTGTAAAATCAGCTTATAAAATTTTTTCTACGGTCTCTTTTGGCTAGTCAGCCTGGCTTGTTAGAAGATCGGTTCCCAAGAACCTGGTTCTCTTCATTGAGGGCAATTCTTTTGATGTTTCCCGATGTGGTCCTAAGATAAATTCGTCTCATGTCGACACCAAGACAGTATGCTCCAATATGTCTTGTGGGCTTGTCTCGCTCGCTCTTAAAATTAGTTTAAAATAATGATTTTTGGTATACCGTAAACTTGTTTTTTCTGCTCAACATCTAACTATCCAAGCATGCTCAATTTTCTACTATTTACCTTTGGATAATTACCTCACTGGTTCTAGTCCTCTGTCCTGCGACAACCGTGGGAATGAAAATAACTAAACCCGCTATGCGTCTAACCAACACTATTACATACCACAGAAAAGGTGTGCACCCATAAAATTTTGATATGAAACCAAACACAATAGATAAGAGCGGATTATCTATTCTGTGTACAATGCGTATGTTAGACCTGTGCTTTACATTATATGCACAGCGACATTGAACTGCCTTGTTACGTAACGTCTCTTGAATACTGCAGCAGGTCGAGCACATTGAAATAGTTAAGCGGTGTTTACGGGTTGTCATCTACAAGCTATAAAATATTCAGAGTGCACTTAACGGTTCCAGTGTGAGTTATAGCTGGATATAACTACATATAAAAAAATGGCTACATAAATTATTGACTTATTTCGAATTTATCTCAACCAATTTAAGACACATTGCATCAGTCTTGGTAAATATGGAGGTAATAGTTAGCTGTTATTTCTAAAATTCAACAAACTAACGAAAATTAGTACGGTACGATATTTTGAGCTAAGAAAAACTCAAATAGCAGCCACAAAGAGATACCTATTTAAATGATTACTTTATTATAGAGGGCTAAATTGTCGGTAATCAAAAAGGTGCAATAGGTTTCTCTATTTGATAACACTATTTCGTAACAGATGAGGCTCCGGTAATTTAGCAGACCATACCAATACCACTCTCTCGACTAGCGAAACTTAGATACTGAATTTATGAACTAGTATTCAAAATTCTGGAATAATACACATGAAGATATGATTAAGCTCCTAAGCTAAAAAGGAATTCAGTATCAAGCATAATAAAATCATTATGACTTTTCAAAAACAGCTTTGAACCTGAAAATAAGATATTTCATCAACATAAGTGTCATCAGAACACAAATCAGTCATGACTGATTCAACAATAATTTCTATGTTATATGACTAGCTAGATCCTTCATTCTATTTTCCGCATTGATCACCATATACTATTGTTAAAACCATTCTATTCCAGCTACGCCACTGAAATGAACGTGTAAAACAAACTTTCTCGAACTCGGCGGGTGCTTTCATTAGCACTGCACTAATGGGTAGGCAGATTCCCTCCAATACCATCTTGGTCGGGTGGTGCCCTGACAGCTTTGTCGTGCCGGTAGTTCCATAATAGTTCTGCCAAACTGATGTTTTACGAATTCCTTGCTTATGGTCAGAAAGAAATTTTCATTCATAGCATCCCTACTGTTCATCCATCCAAATATATGTTTTGTAGTTTTCAAAGGTTTTAGATTATAAGCTTTTTTGAGGTAGGCAGACAAATTAATTTTAGAAATTTGTCGACTGAGGTTTCTCTGCATCAGCTAAAATTTATTTCCACCAATTTTGATGTTGGGATACAGCTGAAATGTAAGATTGTGTAATTACAGTTTTCAAATATAGGGTGTTTTAGAACTAAGGGATCAAACTTCTAGGGGTTATTTAGTGTAACAGTAGAAAACATTTGAGTATAGGGACCGGAAAAGTGTCACTACGACACTACGGCCCTAACTCGCGTTAAAATTTAGAAAGACGATGAATTGCCTAAATAGGATTTAACACATTTAATTTTTGCCTTTTGTACATGATATCATCATAACAATTGTTCAAAATGTCTTCCTTCAACCTGAATACACCGATTTAAACGTCGCACATGATTTCGGCGAATTTGACTAAAAATTTGATAGTCGTTTTGAGTGATTTCAAATGCTGCTGTAATTCATCCAATGAAGTCTTGCTCTGTTTCTACTGGAGCTTCGTAAACCAAAGACTTTACATGTCCCCACAGGAAAAAATCTAGCGACGTTAAATAGGGTGACCTAGGAGGCCAAGAAACTGCTCCACCTGTGGCAATCCTAACGTGCCCAAACCGCTGAGCCAAATATACTAAGTGACATATAAATCCGAACACCCAGTTTAAATGGTTTTATTTTAATAAAATTTTGTATAAGTACTTAATGAAGCATAATAAGTAAATGATAAAAATTTCAAAATGATTGCACTGCTTTAAAGCCCTTTGACCTTTAATCATGTGTGGATGCACCCTGATGTGCTACGCATTCTCCAACGCGCCTAGGCATGCTTCTGATCAGGTGGTCAATGTCCTCCTGTGGTATCTCATTCCAGGCAACCACCAACTCCTCTCGAAGTGCTTCTAGAGTCTGAAGAGGACGTTGCAAATTGAGCAATCTCCTACCCATCATATCCCACACGTGCTCAATTGGGGATAAGTCAGAAGATCTTGGTGGCCATGGTAACAATGTGACATCATTATGTTGAAAGAAGTCTATTGTGACTCTTGCAACATGTGGTCGGGCATTATCAAGTTGGATCTGCCAGGGTGTCAAGATAGGGTAAAAGATGGGGTTCTAGAACTTCGTGGATATAACGCTGCGCGTTCATGTTACCTCTGATGAAGATTAAAGGTGACCTGGAACCATAAGCTATAGCACCCCAAACCATAACTCCAACAGTGTGATGAACATGTCTTTCAACAAAAAACTGTGGATTCCTCCTTTCACCACGTCGCCGTCTAACCCTGGCACGACCATCGTGCATGCCTAAACAAAATCGAGACTCGTCACTAAAGACAATACTGTTCCATTCCTGATCCCAGAGTGACCGTTGTCTGCACCACTCAAAGCCATTACGTCGGTGTTCTCGAGTTAAAGGGAGGACCCAGTGTGGCCGGTATGAAAACAAGCCAAAACTTCTCATTCGTCGGTAAACGCTTCGCATGCCAATAGGTCTTCCGTGTTCTGCAAACCATTCATTTGCAATGGACCTGGTAGTGGAGAAACGGTCCCTTAAGGCAAATAATCTTAGGCGGCGATCTTCACGGTCTGTTGTTCTACGGCGGCGTCCAGTGCCCCTTGCTCTTTGCGTACGGCCTTCTCGAAGCCATGCCTGACAACACCTAACCACAGTGTCTACACTTCTTTGCACTCTAACTGCAATTGCCCCAAAAGAAAGTGCAGCTTCCCGAAGTCCCACTATACGGCCCCTATCAAACTCACTAAGTTGACGAAATCGTACAGGTCTCCGTACTCTAGGCATCGTAACCGATCGTAAAGGATGTCAAAAACCAATATCCGCCAACGTTGATTCTTTACTGCGGCTGAAATATTCATTTATAGAGCGTTAGTGAATTAAAAAAAGCAGTATAAAAACCGGAATGCCCAACTGATAAGGCTGAAAAATTTTTCACTTGTTATTTACAGTAAGATAAATACATTCACCAACTTTTATTAAAATGAAACCATTTAAACTGGGCGTTCGGATTTATATGTCACTTAGTATACGATAGCACGACTAAGGCGATATGGAATGCAAAAACAATTTCTGTTATCGATTTTAAAGATAACAACACACAAGCGCCGGATATCGGTCCCTATACTCAAATGTTTCCTACTGTTACACTGAATAACCCCTACAAGTTTGATCCCATAGTTCTGAAACGCCCTGTATAGTGAAGTTTATACTAGTTTTTCGCACGTGCTGGAAAAAACGTATTTGAAATTAATACATTATTTATATCTCTTGTATTTACCGTAGAAGGAATCACCCAATGGGATTTGATTTTTATTCCGAGTATAGATGAAACTTGACCGAAGCACAGTGACAGGACAGTGCATGAATAAACTTATTACGAAAATTTCACGTTTAAACTTTGAAGCGTAATTTTTGCCACTTCTCTGTGATAGAAAAATGTCTAAATACACCAAATATACCTTGCAGGGAAAAACAATTGAAAAATACTCCACTCTTGTCCCGGATTGCTTGCCAAAATCCATGTTTGGTGCTAATTATATAATTTCTTGTACGGTTCTCTTGTATGAGACTCGGTACAGAGGAGCTTCATATCGCTCAAAATATACATATAGGTACCTATAAAATCTTTTTAAGTACAACGTAAAATGTATTGAACCAGAAATAACTAACCTAGGCTTACGAAACAGTGTAATTTCTATAAACTACCAGACCCTGGCTTTGGCAATCCATCACGCACAAAACGACGTGCATTAGCGAAAGGCGTTTATATTTAACCGAAGAATTGGGCCAAATACACAACGCAATGAATCGAGTGGATACCAAATTAATATTTCCTCCAGCCAGCTGATGTTTTTACATACTTACACACAGGTTGACAGGAATTCTGTATAATAAGGGCGCCGAGTATTATCTGTCTAGCGAACGAATGCAAGAGGGAAACGGTGAGTGGTGCCACAGAAAACGATCGGTTTGTCGGTATTGTCTGTCGTCTTTTTCAGATACAACTCCTAAGTTGATGATCGATTGCTCCTTTAAAGTATTTTTTTAACTCCAGCTTTATTATAACCTGTTCTAAAGTAGTACAAATATTCTGTAATACATGTGACGTTATTAAAATTAAATGTAATAGTTAGATAGAATGTCAAGAGTTTAATCCCTCATGCTTGTCTGACCAATAAGGAAGAAGGAAGTCCATCCCTACAAAACCATAAGCGAGCATGGGGCTATCTGTCTTTTTTTAATGTACTGGATACGTCACCCTCGTCCATCCGGAAAACTTCAAAATTTCTCAAAAAAGAAACTACCCAGATCTGTTGAAGTAACACACCGATTAATTGTTATGCAATCTTCGACTAAAATATTGCAAGAGCATTGTTTTGTATCTGAAACGCGAGAAATATCACTAATACTATTTCGACGTTTAAAAGGAACCGTGTTGTTTATCCTGTGAAAAAATGTGTAAACAACAATTGTGTTTCTAGTTTTTGTGTGGGCTTCCACCCAACTATACTGATCTAAAAGCGCTATCTGCTGCATTGGAACAATGTTCAGGGTTCAGATATTTTATACAGAGAGCTAGCAAGCCCTGGAAAAACTACGAAGCGTCTAAAGCGAACACATGGGTTTCACTCCCATTTAGAGGCCCTTTTAAACAGAGTATGATACAGAGTACAGAGCTAGCGGCAGTGTAATTATACTTTGAATAGCCTGTTGATTAACAAGTAGGGCTGATGGCGCGCATACATACACTTGAATGTAGGTTATATCAGTGCAGTCGTAAATAAAAGAACCTCCGAAAATATTCATATTTATTTTCTACGTGAGGATATTTACTATTAGTCTAATCATATTAAACGAAAACACCCCTGGTTTGCGAAATAATTGTAAAGTCTGGTTTTATTCCTGCAATTTGTTCAAGGTGGTATTCAAAACATGGAGGCATAAAATGGGTACAATAATTTTTGTGAGAAAACTTTTTATTCAACAACAAGGAATGAGAGAACGTGGTTTATGGGATTCAATTGAAAGTGTTGGCAGGAATGAAAAAACTCTTCATACAAGATCTTTAGGTATTTATGAGACCTACAAAATTACACCACACGTAAAAAGATCCGACTGATAGCAAAAAAGTTATGGCCGAAAACCTAGGCAAACTGCTGGTTTTGCCACTTGTTGGTAATGCGACGATGGTTTCTCGTAGATATTTGAAATTCTTTAATTTCGTGGGATTCGTTCATCTTAATAATCACAACAAAGTTGGAGTAGATTGGTCAAGTAGTTTTTGAGTGCTACTTGTTTATCCCAAAACACCTGTTTTCCGGCCATCACTACTAGTTTATTGAGCAATATACATGGGTTAGTTTTGTAGCAAAATACTCTAGTTTACCTTGCCGATATGAATCGAAAACCATTCCAGAAGATAAATGTTATTTTTGTGCGAAAAAGGAAAGGTTACGTTTTTTCTTCTAAACAAATTCAAACATTTCGTATTTGTGATAATTCGCAGCAAAATATGATATACACATCCGCTTTGTTTTAAAATGTGTATAGTAACGAATGTTTTTCGAATATTTCCATTTGTTCAATTACTCACAAAACGAAAAAATGTTTGAATTTGTTTAGAGGAAAAAACGTAATAACTTTGTTTTTCGCATAAAAATAACATTTATCTTTTGGAATGGTTTGTGATTCATATCGGCTAGGTGAACATTAAATGCTCTTTGAACGAGCCCTGTATATTGTTCAATAAACTAGTAGTGATGGCCGGAAAACAGGTATTTTGGGATGAACAATTAGAAATTCTCAAAAAACTACTTGATCAATATACTCCAATTTTGTTGACGTTATTTAGAAGTATGAATAGAAGTATAAATCCTACGGATTTGAAGAATTGCAAGTAGTTGCGTGAAATTATCGTGTTTCGGCCATAACATTTTTGCTATTAGTGGGATCTTTTCACGTTTGGTCTCATTTTGTAGGTCTCATAAATACCTAAAAATCTTATATGAAAAGTTTTTGCGTTCCTGTCAACACTTACGATTGAATCCCAAAGAACACGTTTTCCCATTCTTTGTTATCAAACAAAAAGTTTTCCCACAAAAATTAGTCTATCCATTTTATGCGTCCATGTTTTGAATACCCCCTTGAACAACTTGCACCAATAAAACCAGACTTTACAATTATTTCAGGGAAATTTGCTAATATGATCAGACTATATTAGGTAGATTCACGTTTAGTAATTCCTCACGTCCACCATGCCGAAATGCTGCAAGCATCGCCGTGGTGGCCAAAGACCGAGGGATCTTAGTGAGTATGCCGCATTTCTGGATAATCTCACACTTCGCTCAGGTCGAGTTTTTTGCCTGAGAGTTGCTATAAAAACTTTTTCTTGCACAAAAAATTCGCACTCGAATTGGCTAGGGGATCTCAGACCACCGGCCACGAACGATAGGTGAATAGGGACGAACGGCTAGGGTATAATCTAAAAGATTTGAAGCATGAGATTTTGTTTTTTATTTTGTTACATTGCTAAAAACCATGTCACTCATTTCCGCCATTCTGTCTGCCTGTCTGGTAATACTTGGCGTCTCTATAATTAATCAAGTACCGTTGGGATTTTGATGAAATTTGGACACAAGGTTACTAATATCCCAATGTCGAAAAAGCTTTGAAGTTTTGAAAGTCGATCAAGTGGATGCGGAACTACGGGTGAAAAAATACGAAAAATAGGTATGCTTAAAGTTGGTTTTTACTTTCCACGTCTACTGGCGACGATATATTGTAATAACGCAAATTTCCGAAAATGATATATCCTGTTTTGATGAAGGATTCTGGGGTAAGGGAAGGTGTATAGCAATTTTAGGGCAGATCCTGTTACAGGGTCTGAAATCTGCTGTTTTTGTCCGTCCAACCAAAGACAGCCAACCGTTTCGTGCTGTTTTGCCCACTCATCAGCACGATCTAGGCTTGATCTCTGGGATAACAAACGAAGGCATAGCAACTACCCTCTATTCAGAATATAAAGTCAATGGTGCTGTCTTATTTTGAGCATAATCGCATCGCCTTCACGAACTGATGACGGCGATGCGTGGGAAGTGTAGAGTCAACCTACTTGATGCAATTTCTTGATGTCGCAGATACTTTTAACCCTGATAATTATAAGCAACTATTAGTAATGTTCAAATCACATGCTTACCCATATATTCATGGGAAAGTCGTCGTTGGATGCCAAATGGGTGGGAATAGACTATTTAATTCTTCTGTTATACTTTTTCCTGAAAGAGTTAACGTGTGCTAAACATAATAACTTTTATCAAATGACGATACCGCTGCATGGGAAGGGCACAGCCAACATACTTGATATTTTTTTATATTTTGCAATGGCACGATCACAAAAAAGTGTTACTGACCCTGAATATGGGGTGCTGTTCTGAACCAACGATTTTTTTGCAGAGTGCAATGAAGTTGGTATATAGTGGTACTTTTTTGTCGGTAGCAAAATAGTGGAAAAAGTGTGAAAAAACCAGAAGTTCTCTGAAATGAAACAACTGTTGATAAACTCAACTTTCATAATGTTTCCAAATTCTCCGTTCGTTTGTTTTTCGAAAATAGATGGGTAAAGCTAGTATTTCCAAAGTTGCGCTGTGCTGTTGTGTTGTAAGATTCATGAGAACCTATTTTTATATGCACAGCCATAGAAAACTTACACGCTATATATTTTGAGATACACGAAAACTGAAAACTATTTTTCGAAAACTAGGTTATTTATGTTCAAAGTATCAGCATCAATGCGCTTGTGTAGCCTGACCTTTCGAATATTTTCGACCACGCAGATTTTTTTTAGATTGTTGAAGAGTCAGAAGTCACACATTGACAAATCTGGCGAGTAAGGCGGACGTTCCAGCATTTTGGTGTGGCGCTAGCGTAAAAAGTCTACAGTTAGTTGGGCAGTGTGGCTAGAGGCATTGTCGTGGATTGCACGCAACAACTTTTTTAAATGAAGATGATCATGCAGAATGCAAGAGTTGTCTCTATAGTCGCATATGTGCAGCCAGAATCTTCTTCAATTAGCCGCTAAACTTCAGCAAGTCACACTAGAACATGGCCTATCACTACGGTTCATCAGCCAATGAAACATGCCCTCTTTTAAATTCGGCATACCAGCGAAACACACTTGCCCGGGATAGAGCTTCATCACCAAATGCCTGTTGTAACCATTCGATACATTGATGTTCTGTTAAACCGAATTTAAAGTCATAGTAAATCATAGCGCGATAACACTCTCGAGACAACTGCATGTTTCGTCTTCAATTTGCTTACACCACGTGCACTGTAAGATTCTTGCAAAGGAACTGAATACGGCGATTTACTAATAAAGGACTGCTCTTTCTAATAGTGCATCCTTGCTGGCTTTAACTAGTATAGTTAATGCACATCTCAAAATATACAGCGTGCCCCTCGTGTATCATTTGTTTAGCATGTAAATTCCAATATATCTGATGTTACAAAAATGTAAAAGAAAATTAAAATTTGAATGGTTAATCGAGAACAAGAATTTATCTTTTAAATAGAAATCCTTATTTTCTGATAAACAATAACAATGAACGAAACCAACTAATATCTACTTGGCTATATCACTATTTTACAAATCAATAGAGCTGAGGGAGCATAGTGCTTGCTTCATAAACCTTTAATCCCACTGAAAGCTCCATTTTTATAATTAGAAAGCTGGAGGAGGCATACATTTGCTGACTAAATGCATACATCTCAATGAAACACAGAGCACTTCCTACAATTTTAGGCCACAAACGGTAGGTGAAAAAATCAACAGGTTTTGTTTTTGAAAAACAATTATTTAAGAACACCGCCAAATTAAAATTTCTTTCTGCTTAGGCAGTCGAAATATTCTTAAAACGTTTTATGATTTTCAGCTTTATACAGGGTGCTCGAAAAATAGACGGAGATATTTTAGAGGGTGATTCCTTGTTAAAAAATATGAAAAAAGTTTCTATAAACATGGATCCGGAAATGCAGAGTTTTCAAGATACAGGGTGACAAATTTAAAAAGTATATATATATATATATATATATATATATATATATATATATATATATATTTTGACTTGAGACGTGGTCATTGTCGTCTAGACCAGTTAGGTGAAAAATTAAAGCTTCCGCCTTTTGTAGGGTACTTCGACAAAATTTAAGCAAAGAGGACTCTTTATACTTTTTTAATTCTCTCTAGCTTTCAATGGACTTTGCCATCATCATCAGGAGCTGCAATTACAATGATAACAGTAGCAACAAAAGTGTAAAATGAATTTAAATTGACTCAACTTACAGTAGTATGTGAGGATGTTGCTAATTGTTGTTTACGTATAGGATGAGGGAAACGTCCAGTAACATGGTGAGAGCTGGATAGATTGTACAATAGTCAAAATTATATAAAATATGACAAGAACAAGTTAAAAACAGATTAAAAATTATTTAAAAAACATTAGAGCATTACATCGTGAAGCCACTTGATGATTGCACAAATTAGTGGTCATGGAATAATGAGTGAGATGAAACCCTTTGACAGAAGACCGAAGGATGTCAATGTCTGTGTTGAAAGATGGAACAAATTGCGGGCGTGTGCCAGACGTTGCCAAATCACTTCAGATGATGTGATTTTCAGAATTTTATGTAAGAATTTGTTAAACCGACCAGAGGCAGTTGAATAAACTATATTTTAATTAATGGGAATTTAAATTAACAATTATTAATAAATCGTGAGAAGAGAATTATTATATTTTGAGTGGAATGAAATTTACTGGTGGAATCGGCCAAAACACAGATTCTAATTATGGTTGTGAAGAGTCGAAATTTGGGGAGATATGTAAGTTCTCCAATTTTTCGCAGTTTAGCAAATATGAGTAAATGACACTCAGTTGTTTAACATCTGTCTTTTTGTTGATACAGTTGTTATTCATGAAGATGTAGGACATTTCCAGGAATAAACGTTTGGAAAGGTGTTTTTCTTTATCAAGAACTTTGATACTTGTGTAATTCATAGAATGCCCTGTTGTGTTAACATGAGATGCTAGAGCGCATCTTTCAGGATGAAGCCTAGCATCACTTTTGTGTGATGTAATCCTTCCTTTAAGAGATCTGGAGGTCTGAGCTATGTATATTTGGTTGCAGTTGTTGCAATTGATGGAGTAGACTGTGTTGGTTAAGCCAAGCAGCGGGACTTTGTCTTTCATTTTTGAAAAAATGCAGTTTATAGTGAGGACGGATTTGCAAGCAATTCGAAAGTTCAAAGGACTGCATAATCTGATCAGCTTAGGGGTCAGTTCCTTGATATAGGGCAGGACAGCAAAACCAGGTCTGGAGTCCGGGTTGGTGCTTGTACTGTTAGGATTGATGTTATTATTGGGAATTACATCAGTTCCGTTATTAGGGGTTGTGCGACTATTACCTGCATCACCAGAGTTCGGCAAAATATTGGAAGGTGAACTAAATAAGATCTTGTTAATCAGACACTTCGGATAACCATTATTGATGAACAGTTTTGATATATATATAATATAATATATAATATACATATATTATACATATATATTAAGGTATTACCTTAGTGAATGTTATTGGCAAAAAAATGTACGCCACTGTGTAACTTTAATATTTGTTGTTTTATTAAGCATCTAAAAATACAACTTCTTTGCCTCTTGTACTTTTCTCATATCTGACTTCGTTTTCGAGAAAATAAAATAAAAGCCGTTCTATTGCATGTCACTGGACAAAATTGGTTTATTAATTTTTGCTAAAACATCACAAGTGCCTTGGAAAACAAAAATCATGTCCGCATGGAGGTTTAACATTTGCGCGTCAGTTCAAACTTCAACAGAATCAATTAAATATTTTTTAAGATATCAATAAACATTTTTTTAAAATTTATCACCCTGTATCTTGAAAACCCTGCATTTCCGGACCCATATTTATGAAAACTTTTTTCATATTTTTCAATAAGGAATCACCCCATAAAATATCTCCGTCTATTTTTCGAACATCCTGTATACACTTCAACACATAAAGAACAAAACAATTTCATATTTCGGTTACTTATTATTCTATTACATTCTCATACAGTAAAATAGTATGTTTTCATATCTGTGACTTTACTTCTAGAATCATCCTTTGTTTCTTATTTTAGCTTGTTGGCAAACTTGAGATGCTTTTCAGTGAAAGAAAGTGAGTCATGTCCATATTTTCATTTTCACTTTAGTTATTTCGGAACAAACGGGCGTTTCGTTTTATGTTTATACTTAACACTAGTATTTCATGCTGCGGAATTTCATATTTGACAATTTTATGGCAACCAAAATTATAGCTGTTAGATATAAACTTTCAGAGGTAACCTGTTTTTGCTTTGTAACAGTCTTTGACTCATGTTTGACTTGAGATGTTAAGAGGTTTTTTTTTTAAGTAAAACAGGAAAGCGATCTCCGTTTTGAGTATATTTTTCTAAATTTCGAAGTGTTGTTCTTTTGATTCGTATTTCCGTTGATCTATCTCTCTCTATCTTTTAGGTTGGTACCTATTGTATGAGTCATTCCCCGTCCGCCATATTTTTTCCTTTTTTGAAAGCAAATCTTATTTGTGACACAGTTATCCCTTTTTTCGCAAAAATACCATGGGTTAGCAAAAAACTGTTTTCAGGCCATTTGGAATGGAAAGAGGCCTAAGAAGCCGTACTATATCTCTATAATTATAAATTGACAATCATCAAACAGATAAATGTAATAGGAAGATCGAACAGTGCTACTTATTAGTACCCAGTATTAACCCAACATTGGGTCAAATTAAACTTCCTACTATTTACTGCTCAGCTACAGATATATGTATGGTTGTATATATACTCTTAGTTTTTCAGTGTATCTTGACTTCAACGTAGTCGAAGATATGTGCAATTGTGCATACCTTGAAATCGAATATACGGTCGGATAGCTTCATGTTTACTCAATGACAAATAAAATAGAACGCCCAGTAAAAATGATTTAATTGAATTTGAATGTTATATATAGTACGGTGAGGTTCAAATTTGGCTGACGACGTAATCAGTACGAGAGAGAAGCGCCGATAGCGTCCGTGGCTCCGTCACTCGGGTTGCTAGGCAACGAGGTGCTTCTATTCCTTTCTAACAGACGTATTGTACGCTTCTCGCGCTTCTCTCTCGTACACATTACGATGTCAGTGATATTTGCTTTTAATGTGCAGTTAGAGATAAGAGGAGGTTGTAGTAAAATTTCAAGTTGAAACATTTGTTGTATCTCTGGATTCCTTTAATAATGTTGGATCTCCCTGATAGCATATATATTCGCCCAGTCGTTAGAACATCCTTCTAAGGAGATGATTCATGTCTTCTCAGAAAAGCTACTAGTGTTTATGGAGGAAGAGATAAGGATGTCGTGATTCTTGCCATCATATCTCACTTATTTTCAGTGAGCAGAATGTCTGTAGATATAGGAGCCTAAGCAAGATGTCTGACTTGAGCATTATTGAGGCAAATCATTGCAGCTTTGGCTTTATGGGGACGGGCGCGGAGAATAACATAATATAAGTTTTCGGTTGAAAGCCATACGCACCATACTGTTGGGGTGTTATTACATATGGTACTAAGTCACGACTGAGCTGCTTTCCAGTGGTTCTGGGTAAGAGAGTGATAGGCTTCTGAACTAACTTACAAAATGTGCTCGGGAATATCAAGTGCAGTGGAACGATATTAACTACTGAGCTACTCCGAGTAACTCAACTGGGCCACTGGAGTGTAGCTCTAGTTTTCATTAGAGGAAGTATGACGTATCTAAGAAATACTGGAACGTGGCAAAAATGCTCTCCAAACGCTTGATAACCCTATTTTATAATAAAATGGACATTTGCTCGCTGACGTGCGGCATTGCACATGGCCCAGAAGAAGAATGCCTGTCCATATACTGAATGCATTACTTGAATAACACTTAGGCCAGCCTCCTTCCTTGCTCTCCTAGATCTACAGATTTTTCCCATGTTGGACATTTGAGGCATAAGGTAGCAGGAAAAGTGACTTTACCTTATTCTCCAGCATCTCTAGCATCTCATCGGATCCAATGACAGATAACTTGGGGTGAGGTACGTGTAGAAGACATATGTCATCTCGTCAGAAGCATGACCCAACAACTGCTGTCTTACGTCTATCCACAACATACATAAGACTGAAGAAATGGGAGCTGCACGTTAAACAATGGCAACACCGTTGACGTTTGTCAGATGGTTGCGCTGCCTACTTGCCTGGAGATCTGGAGGAACTATCGCAATAATGCCAAGAATGCGCCTGAAATAAGGAATACAAGGAATGTGCCCGAGGTTTCGTTTGTTCAAATTTAAAATCTGCTGAAATTGATATTCCCGATATTGAAAGATTATAAAATGAACATGTATTCATAAAATATCCCCAATAAGGGTAATATATCTCTGTCAGTAGTTTTGCTGACAACAAGGTTCAGAATAATAAAATCCAACCCTAATTAGGAAGCACCAAATATATATGGGGTTGTCCAAAACGGATGCAGGAAAGTAAAAGCATATTAACACGTTCGCGGACACTCTATGTGGCTAGTGTGTGCCTAATGAGGCGCTGACGCTATAAGCCGCACTAGTCAGTGTGCCTATTGGGACAGTGACGGCACTTGCCGTCAACTACATATAGTGGCCTAACTTCATTTTGCTGTACATCACGTCAATTCTGCGTATATTAGGAGGTTTGGTGTCCCGCTGGAAACCTACTGCCAAATAATAAGTGAGGTAGATTTTTTTTAAGAGGGGGAGGGGTACATCTTCGGACATCGGTAGTCATACGTATACGTGTTGGCAGTATGAGTCTGTTCGTTATCGAGAGCGGATGTACGCATTAGAGCTACAGCAAAATGGACGATAAATATAGAGAGCAGTGGATGCGCTGGTATGAAGAGTGTGAGAGCGAAGATGAAAGCAGACATGATCCATATAGTACAGATGACTCCATTGCTGATCCAGAATATATGCAACAGGACTCAGACTCTTGTACTGATTCAGAATACGAGAATACTCCAAACAATGATGAGCGTAAGTTGATGCGCATTTTTCCCATACACATCAGTTTCGTTTATTTGTAAATTTTAGCTGGAACATCACGAAAAAAGCGTAAACGGCAAGAACCTAAATCAAAAGTTGATTTGCCGTCAGGACATGTCGATAGCGAGGGCTCTGATGATATCGATGTTCTATTAGATCCAGACAACGATGAACAAAAATGGGAAGATAATATAATCGATTGTTTAGAGTTTTCCTTTGATTCCATATCAGTTGGTTTGAAAGAACAGCTAGCAGGCACTTCCCCAATTGAGGTTTTTGAAAAAATCTGGACTGTGGATGTGACTAATTACATTGTTCAAAAGTCAAATGAATATGGTGAATTATTATTTGTGGGCAATAGGCCTAAGTCCAGAAACGAGCGATTCAAGACATTTCAACATATTTCCGTAAAAGAAATGAAAGGTTTTCTCGGTTTGTGTCTCCTTGCTGGCCAGTTGAAGTTCAAGTCTGTTAGGGACATGTTTTCAATGGATCCTCTCAATTATCATCCGATATTCCCGGCTACTATGTCAGGTAGACGATTTGAACAGATTCTGAGGTGCTTGAATTGTGCAGATGATGAAAATAAGGAGGATAATCTCTATAAAGTTAGTTGGCTTGTGAAATCTATCATTAAGTCAAGCCAAAATATGTTTTCTCCGCCAGAAGCCTTATCTCTAGATGAATCACTGTTACTTTTCCGAGGCCGATTACGGTTTCGGGTTTACATAAAAAACAAAAAAAGTAAATATGAGATTAAGTTCTATGAGCTGTGTTCCAATGACGGATATGTCCTAAATATAGAAATTTATAAAGGTAAATCTAATAGAGAAGATGTCAGGGGCAGTTCTAAAATAAATTCTTTAGTTCTTAGGCTTCTGGAGCCATTTCTAGATAAAGGCCACCATATATACATGGATAACTTTTATAACAGTGTCCAGTTATCGGAAATCCTATTGCAAAGGAAAACTCACAGCACGGGGACATTACGGTCGAATAGGAAAGGTAATCCCAAAGAGGTTACTGGAGCCAAGTTGAAATCCGGGCAGCATATTTGGAGAAGAAAGGGAAATGTGTATGTTTCCAAATGGCGCGACAAACGTGATGTCTTATCCATCACGACGGGCTATAAGCCTGAATTGGTTGAAAATGCAAACAGGTATGGTCATAAAAAAACCAAGCCACTAATGGTCAGTTGCTATAATGACAATATGTCAGGTATTGATCATGCAGATCAAATGATTAGCTATTATTCATGTCCTAGAAAAACAATCAGGTGGCACAAAAAGGTTATATTTCATCTTCTTGATATAGCTGTCTGGAATTCCCATTATTTATATAATCGTAGCCACAAAGATAACAAGACGTTCAAAGAGTTCCGAAATGATTTAATAAAATCCTTACTTTGGATCTCTCCGGATCAGAGAGATGGAAGGGAATTTGTCAACTTGATGAAAAAAACAAAGTTTATGCCATCCAAAAAAAGTAGAGAAAATTTGGGCCACGTTTTGGAGGCTATACCTGTGCCAGAAAACAAAAAAGGTAAACAAAAGATTTACAAACGCTGTAAACAGTGCTACCTAGAACAAAGGAGGAAGGAGACTGCATGGCAATGCCGTGATTGTATAGGAAAACCATCTCTTTGTGTTGGAGACTGTTTTCAGGTTTGGCATAAAGCTTGATCGCTTATATTGAAAGCACCTAAATATTTATTTTGCTGTTTGACAATGAATAAAATTTAAGGAATATGTATTTATTTTGTGTTTGTACACATACTTATTCATAATAAAACTTGTTTCTGTACTGCTCTTGTTATTGTTCATGACTTCAATAGAAAACAGGTAATTTAAATGAGTTAAACAAGCAGCTATTCGCATGCGGCATATGCCGTCAAGTATCCCATGTGAGTGAAATGGGTGCGTAGGGGGACATGACGTCATATACCGCATGATTTTTTTTCATCATATCTGCATGTGTGAAAAATTCCTGTTTGAATGCTATTTGATTCACTTTTCTATGTTTGATATGAAATAATTTATCAACGTGACATTTTGAGCACACCTCAACATTTCTCAGTGCCCCGCTAGAAAACAGTTCATTGGCGTGATATGCCGTCAGTGTCCGCGAACGTGTTAAAACAAGAAAGATTGATATTCAAATCAAGTTGGGTACTTTATTTTGAAGGTTCATTTATACCATTCATATATGAAAAATAATATCGCTCAAATGTTCACCACGACTGGATTTACAGACGTCCACGCGATGGTCGAAATTTTCAATGACATTTTGCAACATGGTCGATTCTATGGCATTTATCTCGGCAATGATGTTGTTTTTGAGTTCTTGGAGGGTGGCTGGTTTGTTGACGTAGACTTTGCTTTTCAAATATCCCCATAAAAAGAAGTCCAAGGGAGTCGCACGATCTTGGTGGCCATGGCACATTTCCTCTGCGCGAAATCACGCGATCACCGAAGAAGGACTGAAATCGATGGATATTGACGTTGGTTGTGTGGCATGTTGCACCGTCTTGTTGGAAAGAAACATCGTCCATATCCATTCCTTCAAGTTGCGGCAAAAAATAGTCCTCTATCATCACGTGATATCGCTCAGACATGACGGTAACGGCGTCCCCGGCCGCATTTTCGAAAAAGAAAGGTCTGATGATGCCTTTTGACCACAATGCACACCACACAGTCACTTTTTGAGGATGCATCGCCTGCTCTTGATACTCACAGGGATTTTCGTTCGCCCAGATGTGGCAGTTTTGCTTGTTTACCGTCCCATTCAAAGTGAAATGCGCTTCGTCGCTGAACATGATTTTTGATGAAAAATTGGCATCAATTTGGCGGTGTTCAAGGAGCCAATCTGAGAACGTTCGGCGCGAGAAATGGTCGGCCCGACGCAGCTCTTGCGTCAATTGGATCTTGTAGGCGTGTACATTCAAATCCTTGTGGAGAATGCGGAGCAAACTGGTTCTCGAAATGCCCAATTCTTGGGATCGACGCGTTGTTGATTGTTTCGGATCGTCTCTCACACTCTCCTTCACAACAGCAATATTTTCCGGTGTGCGAACGCTCCTTGGCCCGCCAGAGCCTGGCAGATTTGCAACAGGACCTGTTGCCTCGAATTTACGCACCAGACGACCGATGGTTGTTTCGTTTGGGCGGTTGCTGCGACCGAAATGTTCACGAAGCGCGCGAAACGTGTTTTTATTTTTGCACCATTTTCGTAGTGCTCTTGAATAACTTTAATGCGGTCTTCAATCGAATACGACTCCATAGCGATCAATGGTAAACATTCAACTAACAAAATGACATGTCGGTGACAGAAAACAAAGATGGCGTCTATGTCAAATTAACGTTTACTTTCCTGCGTCCCTATTGGACAACCCTTTATATATATATATATAACGTATATATATTTCGACAACAACTTAAGCAAGGAGGACACTTTATACTTTTTTAATCTCTCTAGCTTTCAATGGTCTTTGCCATCATCATTTTTCACCTAACTGGCCTAGACGACAATGACCACGTCTCAAGTTATATATATATATATAGTTTCTAAAAACAATCAAATGCTGTTGATAATGGTATAAAAATTGTAAAAATTCATGTGTGTTACAAACCGCAGGTGTCTCACTTCATTGTACTGCTTCTTGGTAATTCTGAAACAATACAGAACACACTAATGTAATTCGTAATTCTTTCCAAATACCTGTAAGCTAGTCACTATTAAATAGTTTTCTCAGTTCTATGCCTTTAATTTGTCGACCTTTCATACTTTATATAACGGTGCCAACTACAGGGATTATAAAGAGGCAGACATGCAATTTTAAATAATCTACCAAGTATATAATGCCGATATGTTAAGCTCATAGCCTACCTGTAGCACTTTATGACTTATGACAGAGTCTCCTGAACTTGTGCATCTCCCACAATAGTCACAATACATCTCACGTATACCATCACATCTACTGATAGTGTTTCTTTATATTTTATGCTCATTTTTTTACGAAATATCTCCGAAAGCATCAACGTTGATAATCTGGATATTATTATTATTTGTATTGTACAAATGCCATCTTTGATATTTTTACATTTAGATAAATATAGAGAATCAAGGCAAGCAGCACGTCACGTGATGCCGGTTTTGCAGTTCTATCGGTTATGCCTGAAGAAGATGACCTTGGTGCTCCAGTTCGCCCATAAGACATTTCACCCTCCTCCGTCTAGCTGTATTATGAGATTTTATACCAATTCTATTCATATTCATATTAATTCTGTTCTATTTTCTTTGCACTAAGTATATATAATAGATTATCCATTTTATTCAAGTTTTGTCCCACTAAGTGCACTCCTATATCTGGCCTTATACACCCATTTACCATAATGCGCTTGCCAACCTAATTCGTTTTCTTTATACAGCTGTTTTTGACTGGCCACTAATTCAAGAATAGTTTTTCAATCATATCGCGTCTGTTCACCTTCAGAGTCCAACAGACCATTAAATTATCGCGCCATATTATAAACACCACTTTATTAGCATAAACAAAAACAACCAACAAACTAATCGTTGACGCGAAAACTGAATTGTTTAGACAGCCAAGTTAATAGATAGTTACTGATTAGGTGAATCCAAGAGGTGTAGATTAAACTTCGAATTATGGTTCACAGTTAATCATAATAATTTTAATAATAAAAAAACTTGTTTATTCGCCAAACAGCATCAACAAATAAACTTAAAGTTTGTCTTTCTATTTATATATATATATATATAAACAAGTAGGAAAATAATGGGCAAAATCCGCAAAAAGGAGGAAAGTGGATTCGAGCAGAAAATAGGATAGGTAACCCGAGCGATATGTATTTCTGCTGGTTGGCTTCATCATGCCCGAAATGAATGCACATATGAAACTACAAAAGTAGATACACATGCCCACACATCCGGATACGGGTGTAACCTGAGGAAACGAAGTTGGAGGGAAAAAAAAACGACACACGAAGTCCACAACAAGAGCCAACCTACACATTGTAGTATAAAATGGCTATACGACCCCGAATTTTCAAGGAGACGTCTAACCACCACCACGAGGCCGGTTATAGCCACTTGCTGTGGTACTTCAAGCCCCAAGTATCTACAAAGAGAATATGATCATGCGGAGAGAAGTATATAACAACAAGTAGGAAAATAATGGGCAAAATCCGCAAAAAGGAGGAAAGTGGATTCGAGCAGAAAATATGATAGGTAACCCGAGCGATACGTATTTCTGCTGGTTGGCTTCATCAGGCCCGAAATGAATGCACATATGAAACTACAAAAGTAGATACACATGCCCACACATCCGGATACCGGTGTAACCTGAGGAAACGAAGTTGGAGGGAAAAAAAAACGACACACGAAGTCCACAACAAGAGCCAACCTACACATTGTAGTATAAAATGGCTATACGACCTCGAATTTTCAAGGAGACGTCTAACCACCACCACGCGGCCGGTTATAGCCACTTGCTGTGGTACTTCAAGCCCAAAGGATCTACAAAGAGAATATGATCATGCGGAGAAAGGTATATAACAACAACTAGGAAAATAATGGGCAAAATCCGCAAAAAGGAGGAAAGTGGATTCCAGCAGAAAATAGGATAGGTAACCCGAGCGATACGTATTTCTGCTGGTTGGCTTCATCAGGCCCGAAATGAATGCACATATGAAACTACAAAAGTAGATACACATGCCCACACATCCGGATACGGGTGTAACCTGAGGAAACGAAGTTGGAGGAAAAAAAAAAAACGATACACGAAGTCCACAACACACAACACAACAGCAAGTGGCTATAACCGGCCGCGTGGTGGTGGTTAGACGTCTCCTTGAAAATTCGAGGTCGTATAGCCATTTTATAGTACAACGTGTAGGTTGGCTCTTGTTGTGGAATCCACTTTCCTCCTTTTTTGCGGATTTTGCCCATTATTTTCCTACTTTTTGTTATATACCTTTCTCCTCATGATCATTTGTCTTTGTAGATCGTTTGGGCTTGAAGTACCGCAGCAAGTGGCTATAACCGGCCACGTGGTTGTGGTTAGATGTCTCCTTGAAAATTCGAGGTCTTCTAGCCATTTTATATTACAATGTGTAGGTTGACTCTTGTTGTGGACTTCTT